ATATATATATATATATATATATATATATATATATATATATATATATATATATATATATATATATATATATATATATATATATATATATATATATATATATATATATATATTATAATATTGTACATCACGTTATGCTTGCGTATATTATTACGTCTGGTCTTTGGATCCCGCATACCGGTGTATCTGAACACTGAACCATAGCAATATAGACTAAAATATAGAGCTTCACGGTTGCCCTTACCTGGTTGACGGACTTTCATCGGATAAACTGTGCCCAGTACCAGCCTTTTTAAATTTAAAGTCGAGTTTCTTCTTTTCAAAGAACTTCTTCATTTTACATCGATTATTTGAAAACAAATCACAAGTAAAATCGATAAAGTCTGTATATTTCCTATCAAATAAATATTTTGATTCAGCTTACCACCATTTTGGATTTTGGGCCCTCTAACTTGCTAGTTTCTTTCTCCCTTTGAGGTGTATGTTTATCCATGGTTTATGTCACTCATCGTTTTTTCCGGTTAATGCAAAGTATTCTATTTTGGTACATACTTATTATTGATATCATTCATTTGATATTTCATATTTTTGCGGTATTACACAATAATAATGAAATATAAACGGAGAAAAATAAATTTAGTTGTCAAGGGTAGGATAAGGATGCTGCCAACATTTTGATTTACTAAGTGAGTTGCGCCCTCACCGACCACTAAAAACCAAGTACCGGAACTACCTGTAGTATATTTTGTATAACGTAGTATAGCCCAGTTCAAGCCTAGATGCACATACTTTATCATATGATGTTTTTATTAAATTTGCAATTTTTTTGTGCAATAATGTATAATATTAGTAGTTGTGACAATGACATAATATTAGGAAATCTACCTGCATAATTGAATTATTAACAATGTTCCGAACAACTAATTTGATCATTGTAAGGACTATAAAAAAAATTGATTTTAAAAATGTCATAAAAATTGTGCCTTTATTTTGAATATCCATGGAAATTTAGACTTACAAGTCTTATTTTTTTTTTTGAAAATAAAAAAGAAGAAGATAAAAATAGCTGAAAAATACAATAGTGCAGCGTTTTTGAAAGTGTTTTTTTCATGATCAGTCCATTGGGTCACATTTTTTTCATGATAAGCAAGCCAAATGTAAGTTATGTAATCAACATTCTCCTTATAAGGGGAATGTGCATCATATTAATGTCACATTCAACTCTTATATGAATAAACATCACCCTTGACAGATTCTGATTTGCGCTTCACAACAAATTACAATAATTTATCTGGTTACTTTTTATTATATTACCGGTCAAATCAATTTGAAATTATTCCTCATACCTGAGTTGAGAAGTCAGTGTCCGTAATCCGGATAGTTTTAATAGTTTTATAATTACTTGTCATTTCAGATATTGATTCTTCTACATACTTTTTGTTATATACAAAAAAGTGGCAAGTCTTTGTTATAATGTTACTGTTACTTTGCTACATTTTCTCAAATCAAATTTGACTATCAAATAATCAAAATGCAGCTTCTATGTCATCCTTGTACAATCCAATACAGCAGTAAAATCATAATTTCAACATTACAAATATTAATGCATGTGAAAAAATATTTTAAATGGGAAAGGATGCCAGTTCATGCACACCATAATTTGTTATATCATGTGACAGACAGTTCTATCACTGTACACAGTTTTGTGCAAAATATATCAAGTGACTTTTTTAAGGAAGTTCTGATTCAGCAATATAGACATCAAATTGTTTTTTTTCACTTTGAAAAGTTTAAGAAACATGAATAAGATAATTTTTAATTTGATATACAGTCCTAATCCTAATGCCAAGACACATACTTTAAGGGATTGCCCCCACTTGGTGTCAATTGATACAAACTATATGAGGACTGTTCAATAAGTAATGCCCCTGACCCACTTCCAGTTGTCTGATCGAAATGAAACTTGCATGTGTAATGATTTACATCTCCAAGGATGTTGCAAGAAACAGATCTGAACTAATTGTGGTTTCAGATTTACAGGTGTTTGAACTGAGGCAGGTGTGAAATGGGGCCAGTTGAGTGTCACGCAGTGAATCGTTTTTTGTATTTGAAAGGATGCTCACCAACGGAGACTTTTGTTGAAATGAAAAAACTTATGGTGATGATGATATGACCTTGTAAAACGCTGGCATTGCAAAGTCAAGTGCTCGAGGATGAATTTGGAGATCTGCCAAGAAGATGAGTCAAAGTTTTTCAAAAGACTGGTTACACAGGATGAAACTTGAGTCCATCACTATGATCCAGAGACCAAAGCCCAGTCAATGCAGTGGAAGCACTTGGACTCACCACCTTCAGAGAAAGCAAGGGTGCAGCCCTCCGCTGGCAAGGTCATGCTCACCAGTCTTTTGGAACCAGGATGGAGTAGTGATGACAAATTTCCAGGCAAAGGGTAACACAACTACAGGAGCCTATTACGATTCACGCTATTACGCGAGGCAAGATCAGCAAAGGTATTCTCCTCCTGCAGGACTACACTCCGGTCCACAACTCGCATGTCGCCAGATCAGAAGCACGGGCATGTGGCTATGAAATCCTCCCCCATCCCCCTTACACTCCTGACCTTGCACCCTCTGACTTTCATTTCTTCCCAGCCATGAAGTTGTTTTTGAAAGGAAAGCATTTCTCAGATGATGCAGCCTTGATTTCTGAAGTTCAACATGGTTGGAGGACCAACTTGGGGTGTTCTACAAAAACGGTGTCCAGAGCTGCATCAAACAATGGGAGAAATGCATAACTCTGGGTGCTTCCTATGTAGAGAAAGACTAATAACTGTGCCGAGTTTCATTAATCTTCTGCTTTGGGAAATGGGTCAAGGGCATTACTTATTGAGCGCCCCTCGTATGTTGCATACTTAGCAGTGTTCTCGCAATAATCTCATAGAATGCACTTTACAAAGGAATAAAATAAGTTTATTACTGTATACTATATACAACACTAAACAAACCCAAGTAAGCTACTTTTACAAAGATTTTTTGAAAAGTCTTTGGTCCTGTAATTGAAGAGTGGCTCTTGTGTTCTATCACTTCACAGTGAAATGGGGGAAACGAAACCTTTCATCTTTTGGAGTTAATAAATTTGACAATGTGATCAGCCAAATTATGCTAATACAGTATGAAGCAAAACTTGTTTGACGTTCTCGACCAAAATGCTAAATATACAAGAGTTGTTAAAAATATTGCACAAACATTTACAACAGAATAACATCAACTAAGTTATACTTTAAACCAATTAATTTACATTGATAGAAATTTTCCTGAATTCTATTGCCTTGCTGCGAAAGCGTTGTAATACCTTTTCTCAATCTTAAAGCAGAGGGGTCGTCACCTGCTCATGCACGGGAATCAAGTCCCAAGCGACAATAACAACACACGCTAAAACACAAAGGCTCATGGGTAGACGCTTGTTTGTAAACAATGACATGCTATGGCCATCTTACGCATGCGCAGGTGACGACTCCCCGCTTTAAACTGCGAAAATATCTAGCATTGAAAATTAAATGATTTACAGTAAATTTCACTAAATTTCATTATTTTGTACTAATTGACTGAGTTTTAAATCTATGAACTACCCACCTAAACAATTACCCCCGGTAGTACTATTGTAACATTACATTTTTGTGTGTAATTAATTCAGTGGATTTCAATTACCAGCTAAATTGAAACCCAGTGAATAATTAATGCATTTACAGTATGTATTCAGGGATTTGCACATACAAGAAGTATTGATACAGAATAAATCTCCTCAATTTCAGGATATCATCTGTTGTTAAAGTAGGAGCTAAAAACACAAATATGTCACCATGGTTATTCATTACTGTAGACAGACTTACTACTAAGACTTGATTGAAAAAATTAATGTAAACCACTTTAACGCTTTCACCACCAGTTCTCTTATTTCATCACAAATTCACAAAATAGTCCTGTTTACAATCTGCACTTTTCTTCAGAAGATTGGAGTATTTTTTGTTTTCTTGAATTTCAAAAATCTGGGTTTTAAAAAGCATTGAAAAATGAAATTTTCTAGAGAATTGTTCTAAAAATAGCAATTGTTTCAAAATATACTGTCACTGTAATACACAAAATAATGCACTACTAATAGAAGTAAATACGGCAATAACTGAAGTTCTCTAATGTATATTTAATTGGAGGAAAGAAGATATAAAGAAAGACTGACGTCTCAGAAGGTATTGAACACTGAACACTGTTTGTCTGTCAAGATACAAACTGAAATAATACAATAAAATATACTGAATGCAAAAACTGAAATACTGTATACAACCTCGTTGTGTTTCAGAATGGATAAGGTAAACATGCCTTTTTATTCGGGGAGGAAAAGTTATTTCCTTCGTCTGGCTGTCTGAAAGCCTGAATAAAATACTTGAATTATAGCGCTTACATTTACATAAACAATTATAGCGTTTACATTTATGGTCAAAATAAGTACTATTTTAATTATATAGTATATAGCACAGCCAATGCAATTTTTTTATTTATATCCACTTCTATTGGAGATGCTCTTTTAATAAAATATCCTTTATATAAAACACTCATTTATGGAGAGCCTTGGATACTCCAGCTACAACACAGAAACTTTTCTTTGGAAATACAATGACAGAAACAACTTTAGTGCCAAACTAGTAAACCTCATCTGGCACATCACATAAATAAGTAAATTTAGTAGTTCATCACTGTGTTTGACAACAATAAGCTAATTTTAATAATACCAGAAGGACGTCTTGACATAATGCCTTTATCTAAATGATGGCAGATTGGGAAGCTGTATGTTGGATGGCAGGTTAGGCAGGTTGATGTTTTTAACAGCGGACACAGCTCGGGATGGTGCAGCAGATATGCCAGCCTGTGTGAAGTGAGAAATAACATAAACGTAAGTATGATGTATTAGAAACGAAATAGATAACATCATGAGTGAATATTAGTAACTACAATCACATGTTCAGCTGATATGCCCCTATACAATTTGCAATACACAAGTGTTTTGTACAGCGATGTACAAATGTTTTATTTCTTGGTTCAAGGTCAATAATTCATTACAACACAATGGTAATTTGTGGATACAGAATATACATGCCAGAATTGCTTTATGATAGTGGGGTAAAATTGTGTCTTGAGAATGACCCTTCTTCAGTCTCGAATCAAACATGTTGATTTATATTGTAGGCTTCAAGGCTGTCTATGACAGTTTATATTATGTTCAAAAAATATTTAAAATATTTTTCTAATATGAATTTCTGATATTTGGTATTTATATGTAGATTACAAGATATCTCTGAAGGGCAACAGCCAAAAACATCTATTAAATGTGTGAAAAACATCAATCCCCTCTTTCTATGGCAAAATTTACACTACCCTTGCTCGGTGTCATAGCAACCAGGCTCTTCTATTTTTACTTGGTAATGATTACTCACCTCTTGCTTTTCTAATTTATTTTGTTCTTCATTTCGTGTTAAAATTTCTGTCATATTCGTCTCTAATACCATGCCACCCATTACTAACTCAGCCAGAATATAATGTACCTAATAGTTACAACAATACAAACATTAATTAGACTATATTTTAGAGTTTAGATCCTTCCTAGGAGGGTATAAAAATGTGTCAATTACAGGAAATATTAACGGATTCACTTGTTTTGCACAATGAACAAATAATCAAATGTTTCATTTTCACACTCCAATAGACAACATTCTAATTATCGAGCAAAATCTGTTACTCGTCACAGTGAAAATGCAATTTTCATCGACACTCATGACTTCACATATCATCTGACAGAACATTATTCTCCCATCTAGGTGGAATGTTTGTTTTTAACTGATAAACCTGTAGCTGACTATGCGAGTCAAACTTACATTCTCCCTAATAGCAGATCCTAGGTGGACACACAATCCTGTGTGTCACACATTGCCAATGCTAGAATCAGTCAGGTATTGGATTGACTCGCTGTGACCATAGACCTGTTTTCTAAGGTCTATGCTGTGACATATGACCACATAGATTCATAGCTTAGATACTGCCAACACGTATATTTGTATGAAATGACTACCAAATTGCAAAGCAAAACAATGATCATATTAGTGCTTTGTCATTTCTATGTGATAATCTAATCAGCCACATTATCATCTACAACAAAATGAAAACTGGTCGACCATCTTAGATTTTGTGATTCAGGGAAAATCATCACTAGAATGGGGGGGGGGGTGGCATTCAAAACCACAAATATTTGCAGTGAATAGGCAATTTTATATCACAGTAGGCAACCCATATAGGGTCAAGAAAGTAAATGTATACTGGTAAAAACATAATCATGTGTATTGTATACTAGTAATTCCTACCTTATCAACATGGAAAATAAGGTCCAACTCACAGACATTTTCAAAGCATTTGTCCAATGTTTCTACGAACACCTAGAAGAAAACATACACACAGACATGGTGAACTCAAATACCCACATGGAAATCAAAAACAGATTTATTATGGCATTGATGAACATAATACATGAAGTTGGTCATTTCTACTAATTTTTCATGCCTGGACTACACTATTTTTTGTAGACAATAGCCTATAAGTCTAATTGATCCGTGAAGGTGGAGTGGCTCCAATAAATCGTGCAAGAAATCAAGGTACTAACCTGTATCAAATCTAGAATACCCAGTTCACTCTCTGATGAATCAACGCAGAATACGAAATACAGAGTAGCGTAGTGACGATAAATAATTTTATAATCTGAACCACCGATGAGGCTGATAAAACAAGGAAAGACAAGTGATTAGTAACAGAGAGAAAAATGAATAAATCAGCGAATAAACTGACAAAAAATAAATAAAAACCATCTTTTGAACAATATACAAGCATATGTTGACATGAAGTTTTGAAGTGTGACCTCTAGCACTTTCTGAGGGTACTGTTACCTCTAGCACTTTCTGAGGGTACTGTTACCTCTAGCACTTTCTGAGGGTACTGTTATCTCCAACAAAATTACACCACAATGGCCGACATGTTTTCTGAGGTCAATGGTTAAACTGATATTTGAACTTAAATGTCAACCGTTTTATCTATTTGAAAATTTCAAAAAATTCTCATATATTATGAAACTGCCAAAAGAGTACCATGATCTGCAGCCCTTTGGGGTCACACACAAGATCTGATATTAACAACACATTCCAAAGCTCAGTGCCTCAATTATCATTGGTTTGTTCACGCATATCAAATAGTTTTACCTTCCACCTTCTAAGAAGTTACAAACATTATCATCTCTTTTTGACACAAGATGAAAGGTTTCTCTAATAATCTGTTGCTGCATATCTTCATTCTGTGAAATCAAGAAAATAAATGAGATGACTTGTTGATGACACGACACGTACATGATTACACAAAACACAGCTGACATTGCCTACTGAGGGACAACTCAGAATTCCATTTTGACACCAAGTTGACGACTCCTGTTGAGGTTGGTTTGACCTAACTTGTTCTAATCAGGTGATCTCCAGGTGTGCATAGCAAGCAGGTCAGCAACTTAGCTGGCAATGTTGCAGTTTTGGTGTTTTTGAGAGCCGAGAGTCAACACATGCCAAAAAAAAATCGATCTCAGTTCCGATAGATGCTTGGGGCCGAAACTCTGCACATGCCAAGATTTGCTGCTTGAATGCTCAACACGAACTGAAATCACACCCTCTCGGTGGTTGAATTTAAGAGAACGTATACTGATTTCTACTAGTGTGAAATGACTATGGAGGGAAGTGCAGCTATATATATATATATATATAGGGTCAGATGCTGTACTAATGAAGGAGATGAATCAAACCACCGTCAGTGTTGCATATTCATGTGTTGCTGCAATCTGTATTTTCTTGCAGTGCTACATTGACGTGACAGTAGCGGTGACAGTAATTAATTATTATTTACATGTCAAAACACGATCTTCTATAGAATTAGAAAATGAAATTAACAAGTAATCTACATCAAAATTTAAAAGTCAATATAGTGCAAAGTTGAAAGATCACCAACATTTTGTTATGCAGTTAGTCACTGAAAATTAAATGGGTAGAAAATATTCAATTCGTTGTAGTCACAAAACTCTAGTTAAGCTTAGTCAATGATCGCTGAGCAAAGTCAAGGTTGCGATTTTTTTTTATACTTAATTAATAATTTTAGTGCAATGTACACTTGAGCCAACAAATTCATGTTTGCCTTATAAATATTTATAAATTTATTCATATGAAATCAGTTTCATTCAAATTCAATTATAATATTAATGCCTTTTCTAATTAAAACATTATTTTTTTTATGTGTGTATTTATTTATTTACATTTGAGTCTATCAAACGAGGTAATATCCAAGACCTTGTTGCGGGATCAACGTGTCACACCTTAACCTCCGGTATGTCATGACTGATTAATATATGGTGCTTGTATACGGCGCTTACAAATTAGATTTCACGAAATTATGCACAGAAAACCAGAATTACAAATACATTATGGACAATAACAAATCTCCGATGATTTACTCACGTAATGTACAAAGAACTTCGTCAATCTCGGCTTCCCATGGTTGTTGAAAACAAGAATTGCCTTAATCATTCTTCTTTGTTATTTTGATCCTGAATTTAAAACACTATGTCGAAGACGAAATCGTAAAATACTACAAGCAGAAGTGAAGTACGTGTAAAATGGCGGATATACCGGAAGTGAAACTGGAAAGACGAAAATGACCAGTGAGGGCGATGTTGAGGAGATCGATCGTGCTCATAGTTTTTGCGGAGTTACACCCGGGGAGATATATGAGAAAATTAATTATTATTAATTATTGGATGACGTAAAAATACAATTTATTGTTAGCGCATTGTTGGCGGTATCTTAAAAAATGTAGAATCTATGGTTTTACTCGCATGGAAATTTGGTCTTAGTCAAAGTGGTTTGCTAACAACGTTGCTATACATCTAGCAGTGATGCTTATCAACATATCAAATCTAAAACAACATATGTCAACAATGTTTCTTTATCCTAAACCATGTAAAGTAGTACATTTCCAAATCCTATAAACAATCTCATCACGAGCAAACACTCACTATCACTCCGGGTACGGTCCGTTCAACTTGAAGTTAATATATATTCAATATATTACGAGAAATTTAACGATCGGGTTCTTTATGTTGAAGTATAACGTAATTCTTTCCTAGCAATTGAAAAATTACTCGAAATTATTCAATTATTATTAATATTTATCGTAATCACTTATAGGGAGCGCCAGACGTCCCCTTCAATTGACTAACCTGGCCCACGTCAATGGGAGCGCCCCTTGCCGAATTTCTGGATCCGCCAGTGGTAGTTTATTATGTGTATATCTCTCAACTTTATTCAAATTTTAATCATTTATTTTACATCCTGAATATCCTCCGCAATTAGGAAAATAACGGTGCATAAAGTCGAAAATTGTATATTTACATAAAAGTATAGGCGTGAGAGAATCATGCAACTAAAATAAATAAACAAAAAGTATTTCATCATTGACAATATATACCGGTAATTTCACCAGGCTACAATTTGAGAAATAGCATAAAATCATTATAATACTGCCAAAATGGCACTATCCCCAGAAATATAATTATCACCATTTTCTCGAAAATTAAAGGGCGACAGTCGTCGCGCCGCGTTCTGTTCGATATGGGACTCATAAAGTGTAAAATGCATTGTTTATTTACATGAAATTCGAACACGCGCTGCGCGACGACCACCGCGCTTTAAGCTGGTGACCCCAACTTTTTTTAAGTCAATATCCCTATGTTGCCGGATGTACAATTTATTAGAAAATGAATAAATTCTGGGTATTTGAAATCATAAGTAGGCTTCTAACTTAAAATAGATGTTCTTTTTGAGAACTCGATCAGAACCGTGACCGTGTAACAAATACATTAGAATAACAATATTTGGCCTAGAACATTTCTACGCGATTCAAGTATAGGAATGCTAAAATGTTTGCATAAATCGACGTACATGTCAGAGTGAAATAGTATTTTAGCGTTGTGGAATACATATTTGATGGATTTAAGTTTGGCAATTAAAGGGTGGTGGTCATCGTGCAGCGACGTATACAACACACGTAAAACACATTGTTTGCACGAAACTCGAAGACTCGTACAAAGTTGCCGTTAGTGTTATACTGCCACCAACGGTACTTGCCATTTTTATACACACTGCAAGCGGCGTGACTGACTCGGAGTCCAAAGCAGAGTCACAACGCAGTACCTCCATCATGCGTCACAGCATGGAACTACAAACCATGTAGTTTCATTGTCACAGTAACGCATCGACAATCACAATGCCAAATACCAAAACCATGACTTTAAGATTTACAATGAATTACACTACTGATTTTGTAAATAATAAAATAATAATAATAATATTTATTAAGCCTTTGGAACGGCAACAAAAGAAAACAAAAAAGAGAAAAGAAAAGAGAAAAATTGTACATATCTGATCCTGAGTAAAAATTAAATTTGAAAATAAATCTCATGGTGAATTCATACAACTTTCATTCCTGTGTTTAAAAAGATGTACCAAATGATTACGTGTACACGTATTAACATTTTCTTAAGATATCCCGGTCAAATTCGAAGATAGAAAAGAAAAAGAAAAAGTTTCTTGTGAATAAATTATTGTCAATCTCTGTTACGTAACAGTAAGCAACATTTTGTTATATGTTTTGGGCAGGTCTGTTGTATTCTGTCTGTTGTACACAGCTTGGTCATTTAGTAGACAGTCGTTTACCACGCTAAATATGAGATTATTGTATGTTTATTGACCATAGATAATGTAATTCAATGCATTATTTCGTGCCAAACAAAATATACTATACTATGAATAGACACGTCTCCATAATTATGTTAACGGAGCTTTTATCGAACATTACATACGTTATTCAAACTTCTTATGATATAGTCTGTGATGTTGTACCTCTCAAACCAGTGTGATGTCATCCCGATTTTTAATTTGATTATTGGATTCAGATCTGTATACGTAAGTGACTTTTAAAGTTCGTAAAGACGATTATTATCGTGTCCCAGTTTAAACAAACAACAATTTATTGACACAACACTATATATGGTTCATACAGCAGTAAGGTCACTAAACAGAAATATAACTATCAACTACTTTCATAATAATAATAACTTTATTACAATACTAAAAACCTTCAGAGGGTTTTTGTATGGTAAGGAACATAAAAAACATAGAATACATAAGAGATAAAAATAAAATGTTAGTAAAATAAAAGAAAAAAATAAATTAATTACTTTCTGTGGTTTTAAAAAAATGTGCTCTTTAAGTATTTTGCTAAAGCTATATTATTCTCCATAATCTTTTTAAATATGGAATTCACATCCATTGTGTAAATATTTATTGCACACTCATCAAACAGTTTTTTTCTTTGTTCTATATAGCCAGTACAAAATAGCAGGAAATGTTTTTCATCTCCTAATGCTTTAGTGTTACATTTATTACAGTGTCTATAGAATAGAATATATATATTTGGCAAAAGGTATAACAGAATAAGTGTCTAAAGCACTTAATGAATATATGAACTTACATTCTTCATACAGTTTTTCAAAGTCTGGAAAGCTAATTTTGTCAAATAAACGTACTCTCATACGAAACAATACTAGCATTAGTGCAATGCATTATGTAATGCTTTTCGTCACCAATTTCTGATGCATCACACAATTTGCATATTCGCTCAGTTTATGGAATGTTAGGGACAGGCTAAACAACCTGGAACAAAGACGGACTTTGGAGCTAAATCCTTTTTAGCCCCATGGTGGGATTTTTAATTACTTCGAGATATTTCACGGTCGGCGTTGATGCATATTTTGTTTTCTAAAATCTACCCGAGGCCCTACTGTATGCAGTGTTTGCCTGTCAATCAAATTTGACCTTGAGATACAAATAAAATATTGTGGTACTCTACAACCACGAACAATGACTTGTTTTTCTACTTATATCATTTTGGCGGTTGATGACTGCGCCATTTTTTGGCGTATTTTTGTTTGTCAACATGAAAACATGTTTTGGCTGCCTTTTAGGGTTATTTCCTGAAAAAGCAACAATATTTTAAAGGGCGGTGGTCGTCACGCAGCGCGTGTTCGAATTTCGTACAAATAAACAATGTATTTTACACGCGTTGTATACAGCACTATGAGTCCCATATCGAGCAGGAAGTGGCGCGACGACCAAGTAGTAAACTTTGGAGAGTGTCCACGTTTTTGATGATGTTTGAAAGTGGGGTAGACCGAACCATTGTTTTAGTTTCATGGCCGACCCGAACGTTTACCTTATTCTCGAGAGTTTACATACTAGTATTTATCTAACTTTCATTTGTTTAATCTTTTTTTCAGACCTTACTACTGTGCTTTCCAAAGACAGTGATGTGTCAGTAAATATGATTATATAGTATAATCATGGAGGTAGAAAACAGATGGTATAATGCAAACGATGCACCAGATGTAATACTGCAAAATTTATTTTAGCTGGAATTAATTTTCGCTGAAAAGACATTTTTGGTGTTTTGTATGAAATTTATTTTCATCGATTTCTGATGAATTGAATTTAAAATATAGAAAACAAGGACATCTTCACTGGATTTTACTTTCACTGAATCACCCCTCAAGCGAAAATAAAATCCATGTGGAAATGAAGTACGTTACAGTATATTGATTTTAAAACATGCGTAAAATGTAAACAAACTAGCGACAGTGATACGAATCCTTTTGTTTTTATGATAATTTAGTGGAACACACCTCCATTTTGACCAATCAGGAAAGGCATAGCTATCACGTGATCACAAGTAGATACGTACTACCGATACGACGTATGTTCATTGACGCCGTCTCCTGACGATCGAACGTGTTGTTTATTTTTTGTGTTCGCGGTTTGTAAATCTAATTGACTTAACAGAAGTAAGCAAAATGTGTGATTCAAGGGTTGGGAAACCATATTTCAAAGAACCTTCGTGTATGGAGGAGTTAATCGAAACCCTGAACACTCTCTTTGAGTCTGACTGCGTGAACGTGGAAGAAGTACAGTCCGTTATGGAAAACTTCAAAAGCAAGGAAAGTGATTGGCGCCGGTTTGCAAAATTTGACCCGAACAGGTAGGGTTTATGAATAAATTTGGATTTTTATGGAATGGGGTATTATTATTATGACCATAAAGTCAATCGAGTCGAAAACATCCTCTCAACACCGACGCCAACGCGGCCTGTAAGTGATCGCGCGCCGGCATCGGGTGGGACTTGTCATTGTAATAATTACGTGTGGTTGAGTGTATTAGCATAATCACTAGAATGGAAGGACACACACGTGTTCCACTGCCTAACAAATATATGAATTATAACTGCGTATGTCGTTGTATAAGAAAATAGAATATAACCACTACATGGTTGGAATTGAATTTTCGTTGTATGTGTCACACATTTTATATACGAGTGCACGTACACTCGGACAGTCGTAAATGGGTGACAGTTCACTTGACTTCAGTGGAAATTTCCAGAAAAATACTACTAATTATCGAACCTTTGCATTACAATCTCTTGGCGACCAAGACTGGCAATATTATTATTATTATTATTAAAAAACAAATTATTTTGTATAAAAAATTAAATTAATTAAATCTACACTGAAACCAGTCCTGAATTTGTGTTGGGTTCATGTTGGCGGTTTAAATAATATAATTATTGCTTTTCTTAATGTACAGCACATACATGAAGCTTTTCACCATTGATGTAAAAAAGACCTCTATGCTTTCACAAACGACATTATGGATGCGTGGCTATTTGAATTCACAGAGATGTCTGTTAATGTGTATAAGCATGGAGCTCCATGGTATAAGTAATATGCACCAGTCTAGTCATTAAAACCCCACCCTCTGGTGGGTGTGATCACAGGGAATTGGAATAACTTGAGTGAAATTTTAATGGAAAATATAGAAAAAGAAATATTTTTCGTTTTATTTCTACCCTCATTTTCATCACACTAAACCTTTGTTCCTATTACAGTCCCCAGGGACTGTGTTCCTATGAAACGGATGTTATCAGCAGTTGGTATTTACGTTTCAGATTTGCAACTCTTACTTAATGCAAATTTTTATCCTTGATTATACCATACCTTTATTACTACTCAGACAACTAATAAATTGTTTGAGATTACTATAAAAAACACACACACAAGGGTTAAACTTCTTGCAAACCATGTCCATAGGTCGCCCTGAAAGCTCCTGGACACTTAATGATATGCAGAAATAAACAGAAAGTGCTTGCAGAAGAATAGAAAGCTATTCCAGCTCCCTGTGGTGAAATACAGGGGCACAGGGTTTCAATAATCCAGTGCATAAATAAAGCAAGCCTGCTCATAAACATATACAGGGTAACAAAGAGCCACTGTTATGTAACAGCGAGTGACAAGAGGTCATTCATGGAGGACTTTGACTTTTTCTTCTCTGCCCTCAAATCTAACTAGGTTTGAACAAAATCATAAATTTGGCGTACAATCAGTACTTTGATATTCATAGTTGTAAACTGCCGAAAAATTGATCATGCAGGTTTGGAGACAATTCATAACTATAGGCATCCTGATGGGCATATACAAGGGGAAGAGCACTGAGAAGCAAGGTTAGGATTAGAATGAGGGGGAGGGGGGCCCTAAGGAAGTTTTAACAAAACAAGAAACAATCAAAAACTGCACACCTGCATGGAGAGTTTTGATTTCACTGTTAGAATGTGTTGTCTCAATTGATCAACAACTTTGCACAATTACCAAGCTTTACAAGTACTGACTACTATGGTAGTATAATGCATACAATCTTGTCTGGTAATATACAAAGGTCATGTGTCAGTTGTCATTCAATCAGGAGATTTGATTTCAGGTGACCCAAAGTTCAAATAATCAGTAAGTGTCTTGTGATTAGTCAGCGATTTAAATATATTATCAGGATGAAACGAGTAAACACCTAAACACGCAGTGTAGGGGGAGGGCCAACAGACTTTAAAAACAAAGTTACACCTTACATGTGGATGTAACGCCAGTGATGCCATTTTTGTGGATGTGTGGTCTGTCATTCATTTTAACATTTTCTACATAATGGCTTGCAAAATTCATGAAAATTTTTCCCTTTCGAAATTCAAATGTTTGACAGTATTCTGTGTCATATAAACTTGGTTTAATTATTTGGTTATTTAGGACAGATCGTGGAGCTAAAAAAGCTCCATGGACAGATGTACACAGCATAGCTATATACATGTACATATTACAATTATCATACCATAGTATAATTAAATAGCTGCTACACTGTATAAGAAGTTTTGATCAAGGTGCATTTTCTTATTATTTTTGTGGTATACAGGTTTTCGGGGGTTTTTCTAGAAAAAAACTGCAAAAGGGAGGGAGCACTGCAATTCAGCGGCGCCACCAAGTGGAGGAGATATGGTACATTCAAGTTAAAATGAAGCATTCTATGGCTTCCTTGAGACCAAAATTACCATCAGGCAGATCACAATTGAAGACTGGTCAATCAGAATTTTATGGTTGCCAGAGCATCTGCTCCCCAGGGTAAGGAGGTGCATGGCCATAGCGTGAGGGCGCTGCACCCTTGTTCCTTTGTTTAAAAGAATCCCTGAGGTTTACAACCAGAAAATGAAATCTATATTGAAATGCAAAATAATAGTTGCTGGTCTTTATCCACAGACTTGTTATCTATGCTCTTTTGATTATTTATAGCTATTTTGTAAAATCTGGAACCTGGTTTGTAGAGAATTAGCCTTTCAAATCAAATTCTGTGCTTATTTAAAAAGTGGAGTAATGGTACCTGTCCAAAATGACAGACAGGTGGCTGGCGAAAATCGTGGCGGTATATCACATTTACACATGTTAACCTGAACAAGTACCTACATTAGATTTGAATCAGTTTTTTGTATTTCATGCATATAAATATGTAACTTGTAAGCAAACATGTACATTGTATTTCGATAGTAGCATTCATGCACAGCTCCTTAGCATCAGCTAATAGGTCAAATACCTTAGCTATAGCCTAACGAGTCGCGTGAGTTACACCCTTCGTGGTGCTCTAAACCCAGTGAGGTCTGTTGCCATTTGGCCTGGCGAGGGCGCAACTACACCAGGCTACCTCAGCCCATGCTAAGAAACGTTTCATAAACGTTTAGCACAGGCTAAGAAATGGTAAGTACAGGTAAAATCTTGCCTGTTCTTAAGACTCGGTCTAGACACTTGGCACTAGCTAACAAAGTGTGCGCAAAAGTTCAGCTCAGGCTAAGCGCCAAAATTACTATTTATAGCTGCTCAATTGGTTGTCTCATTTCTGGCAATTCGTCCGTTCCAATATACAAACATATGAAATTTAATAGCGTAAATCGTAGTCGATGTAGCGTAATGTATTTACAAAATTGAAACAGTCCCTCTGTTTTAAAGTACTTTATTTCTATTTAGAAATATTTTCATATCAGTTCATTTTATTATCAAAAATCAGTGAAAATAAACACCATAGAAGATTTTTCAGTGAAAATTTATTCCATCTAAAGTATTTTACAGTATGTGATGTAAAGTAATCAAAGAAAATATTTAAGCCATTTAATTGTGGATGTGCTTTCGGCATTTCATTCTTCACATACACAATCATATTTTTTCTTTTAGTAGCACATGTGTTTACGTCAATTAAGGTATTTCTGATACCAAAATAAACCATATTTTAATAATACAGGATACATTAAATATGATTTTTGGTTTTTATCATGGACTATCATAGATGGGTTTCTAATAGATCAAATACCGTATGTGTGTGATTTTCAAAATGGAATGTTTTTTGGTCGCTAAGTATCCTGTCAACTTGTACATATGGATGACATATACTGATATCGTATATTACAAGCGATTGCATTGTACGGTAAATGACAGATGTGACAGATCAATTACATTAACCTTTTCACAGCCAGAATTTTTCACCCAAATTTGTCTGTGCTTTTTCTAATATTCTTCAATATTTCTGGAAATGAACCCTAATTTTAGAGCCAACAGACCAAATTTGAGTTTTTACCTCAAAAATTTGACTATTTTTGTCCCAATTTTTTGAAGGTAAGTGCTGACTATACTTGGGACTATATTATGAATTTGTGATGAAAAGAAGGAACTGGTGGTAAAAAGGTTAATTCTTATTGTTTACTGTACAATGAATTCCTTTTTTGTCTAAGTGTACTTTTGTTAAAGATGTGCTTCTACAAATATGGTAAATGCTGGCTATCTCCCCTATATTTTATAATACTTTAGTTTATTTAGTGCATTTATTAACCAACTTACGTGTATATATGCATGAATCGATGTTTCTGGTGTAAGCTTTTATGTACCTTCTGTTCCAACTTTTACAAACTGCGTCATTTAGGGAATGTTTTTGGCTGAAATCCAAGTTGGGTATGTTTGTTGGTCATAACAACATTATGATTCATGTGACCTGAATAGTGAACTTGAATCATATGCACAGTGATATAATAATTAAAAAACAGAACAGTCCATTATATGGGAGGGGGTGGACTAAGACTATTTTGTAATAATTTATTTGATCCTTGTTGTATATGTTATGTTAGGAAATAGTACAGAATAAAACAAAAACAACAACAACAAAACAAATGCTTTATTGGCAGCTTTATTGTAGGTTTAAAAGAAGTACATGTATATTAATAATGCTAGTAAATTGTTTCCAGATGCTAGTACTAGGATTTTATGCGTTGCATATCTATAATGTTACAAAACTTTTCAAATTTGTGGGGTACCGGGGAATAAGTTAATTACTGTTAAATACTGAGCTGGAATTAATTTTCGCTGTTTTGTATGGATTTTAATTTCACTGATTTTTAATGAGTTGAATGTAAAATATAGGAAAAAATATATATTTGCCGGATTTCATTTTCACTGAATCATCCCTTCAGCGAAAATAGCGAGCTAAAATTAAGTATTTTACTATATGTTGACAGTGCGAGTTACAGTTGTCTAGATTGTTTATTCAATATGTCGCCTGCTGGTGCATTCTTTTTACAAAGAATATTGACAATCTGTGACTATTTATAGAGACTTTCAGTAGGCAATGTGCTAATATCGTTAGTTCAAAATACAGATATTTTCTATGTTAGTTATCGCGTGGTTTTGGCTTTGAAATTACGAGCGTGCTCTAGACTACCGGTAGATATGAAGTCCTTGCCCTGAATATTCACTGATGTAATATGAAGATACGCTAGGCTGCTTGTAATACTGTGGAATACTTATTTTCGCTGGAATTAATTTTCACTGAAAAGGCTTTTTAGGCGTTTTGTATGGAATTTATTTTCACTGATTTTTGATGAGTTTAATGTGAAATATAGGAAAAAAAGTATATTCGCTGGATTTTATTTTCATGGAATCATCCCTTCAGCGAAAATAGCGAAAATAAATTCCAAGCGAAAATAAAGTATTCTACAGTACGTCTTAGATATCTTGCTAGCACTATAATTACGTTGCATTTACAATGAAGATGTCAACCATCTTGGATTATTTGCATTCACTGTGAGGTCTTCATTATACATGAAATCGAATATAAAAACAGGACAAAAAAAGGTCATAGCTCTGCTATAGTATCCCTTGAGCTTGTAAATCTAATTTTCATGACCCCAGTATTTTTGACTGAATGACTGCTTGACCCTGCGTCAGTGCAAAGGATTTTGCCTGTCAAATGAAATTCTATACCTGTGTAAAATGACAGGCAGACAGATAGCTGGCTGCTAGGTTCTGTCTCATTAAAATACTTAGGTAGTAGCCCAACTATGCCTTAGAGGTAACTTTTTGTTGAAAGCTAAAATTGGAGGTAATCATTTCATGTGTGGAATGAACATTTACAACACATATTTGTCGTTAAAATCAAAGAGTTAACCTTTTCACCGTCCAGCAGTTCCTTCTTTTCACAAAATAGTCCTAGTTTGAATAGTTTATAGGCTGCACTTTCCTTCAGAAGATTAGGACAAAAATACCCAAATTTTAAAAACTGAAAACTGACTCTGAATTTGTCTGTTGGCTCTAAAACTAGGGTTCATTTCCAGAAATATTGTGGAATACAAGGAAAAAGTGCAGAAAAATGTGCGTGAGGAAGTCTGGTGGAGAAAAAGTTAATGGAATACAGGACCTGCAAGTTGAAAAAATTGCATACATTTAATTTAATATGCAGTTTTGATGGGCTAAAGTTAAATTTTGTTAATTTGTCATTTTGGATAGTATTTATCACTTTACAAGTGACAGTCTGATAAGGAGCAAACCTATCCAAGCTGATATATTCGGAAACCTGTTAACTATATTGTGAAGTTCTACTGTAGGCTCTGGACCCAGGGGTCTATTCACAGATGTGAAAAGTTTGTGTTGAAATTCTTATTACAAATGTACATGTTTTCTAATTACCTAATTTGAATAAATTTGCATTTTTTTAGGTGTACCACAGATATCTCTCATACCACTTATTGAAAGGCATTTTTTTTTTGGTTGCAGGTATACAAGAAATTTGGTCGACGAAGGAAACGGTAAATATAATCTAATCCTACTGTGTTGGGGAGAAGGTCAGGGAAGGTGAGTTTAATATGATTTATTCTTATCTTACTGGGTTGGGGGTTGGGGGTGAATTCAATATATGACACACATCGTCTGAATCGCACAGTTTCGCGAGCTTTGATGTGCAAATTATTAAAATCATCCCCTCAGACATATAGTTGCTATGTTTTCTAATGGTCGGATAAAAATCTATGTTCATTTTGTACTGAGAGCGTATATAGCTTGCATCATGCACACAAATATTACCGTGCATTTTACGGTGGCCGTATGTTATAACTCTGTTTCTTTAGTATAGTGAAAAATGGGCAAACAAATGAAGAAATTGAATTGATCTCATTAGTTTGATTAACCCTCGAGTAACTTCTACTGTACAATTTTGCCTGTGATGCTGCAGTAACTAGCAATTTCGCTGGACAATGCATTGATAAAATATCTTGTGTATTGCCAGAGAGGGCACACTTAAATATATCGTTGATATGTACCATCTGCCAAGGTGTAGTGGTCAAATCTCTTTGAAAAAGTACCAATAGGGCACCTGTGTCAATGACATGTTGTTTATATTGTTACTTTGTAATTGACTGCAACTGTCCTAAACCACCCGTAAAACTTGTATTCAAAAGTCACAAAATGTGCTACTATCTATGTAGGCATCACAGACTTCCACTCACCTATCACTTGGTATACATTGGACATTTTGGTCCGTTGTTGTTTTGTTTGGATTCAAAATGGCTGACTAGTGGCCATTTTGTTTTATTGAATGCTGTTCCAGAACAATATCTTGAATATACCTTGACTGATTGGATCAAACTATATTGACATGAATTTGTTTTGATTCAAAATGGAACATGATGACTGTGCTATGTCAAAACATGGTTTTGTTAGTGACGAAAAGTAAACATTAAGAAGAAAAACATTATCAAAGAGCTACATTCAATCTGGTCTCGTTGTTTCACATTTGGTAGTGAATGGCTAGATGTAATGATGAGTAAATGACCACAGTGAGTAGAGTTTGCATGTACTGATAAGCTACAATGCAGTCATGCATACCTGTGGCCGCTGAAAAGTGTAAATGTTCCTGGTAAGATTAGTGTACATGTACATGCGGTGAATAGAATATATGCCAGTGCCTTGGAACAACCGTTGTGTGTTATGTATCACAAAATAAAATGTTACATTTTCCACAGATTTTTTTCAAAATTTAGATCAAGAATTATGTTTGATTGGTTCAAAATTATAAAAAAAAAATACTTGAAAAAAGGTAAAATTATGGCATTCAAAGGGTTAATTAAAACTATTTTGTTTTCTGTATTTAGAAGTACATCTCCAAATAGAAGCACATATAAACCTAAAATCATGTGTAGTATACTGAGTCATTAAAATATTTTTAACCTCAGACCCACACTTCTTTAATTGATGTAAGTGCATGTGATACTAATAGAACAAACGTAGTATAGGCGTATATAATAAATATATAAAAGTCAACAGTCAAGCAGCCCCATAGTCTCTGTTCGGATGCAGTCCAGTGGATAGACCTTGTGCATCTGTGTGTTCGTGCATCCGTGCGTGCATCCGTACCTGTATCTTAGACATGCCTGGACCAATTACATTCAAACTTCACACATACATCATACATAATATCATACATATGCACAACAATTTGTTTCACGTTCTGATTCAAAATGGCCAAATGGCGGCCATTTTTGTGCTAAAAAAATTATCAAAAATTAAGCATTTATTGATGGATTTTGTTCAAACTTGGTACTTGCATTAGACATTATGGATTCCTGATGCACGTCATTTTATTTCCAGATCAGATTCAAAATGGCTGACTGGGGGCCATTTTGTTTTAATTAATGTGCTTCTAGAGCCATATCTCTGACATGCTATGACTAATTATGTTCAAATTTTATATATTCATTATACATTATGATATAGATGTATTCAAAATGGCTGATTTTGTTTTAATTAATGCTGTTCCATCTAGCAATATCTCTCAATATAGACAGGTAATCGTTTGACCATCAGATACAAGATGTCAATCATTTTAATGTTAAAGTAAGGCAGTGCCCCTGCGCATGCGTCAGATGGCCATCGCGTTTCATTGTTTACAAACAAACGTCTACCCATGAGCCTTTGTGTTTTTAGTGTGTGTTGTTATCATCGCTTGGGACTCAATTCCCACGTGTGCGCAGGTGACGACCCTCCCGCTTTAAAAAATCATATCATATATTGATATGTTTTCATTCCAACTATATTACTATAAACAAAACTATATATCTTAAATTTGATAACTAACGCGGACTGTACCATGCATGGCTTGTCGAGTTTAGTTCTGTTTTTAGTTTCTTCGTCATGTTGATAATTCAGTACTGAGATCTTGCTTTTTGCCAGGCTCTTGATTAATTATTCTTAATAATATATTCTGTTATTTCTTGTCTTTTTTCAGTGGTATTCACAGTCACTCTGATGCACACTGTTTCTTGAAAGTTATGGATGGAACTTTACGTGAGACTCTGTATGAATGGCCGTCAAAATCAGAAGGTCGAACGAAAATGAAAGTAAAAAAAATTGCAGACTGTGAAATGGACCAAGTAGCATACATAAATGGTGAGTACTTTTCATGGTAGTAATTTTTTGATCAAAATTGGTAGTACTATCGAATTATTTAGTCTTATTGGACCATCTATTTTTTGAACCATCTAATTTTTGTTAAAATCATAATTTCTTTTTTTTTATTTTCCACTTACCATTCAACCATCTGACAGGAAATGTCCACATTTAAATGTTATCAATGCACATGTCTGTGTTTTGTTTTTTATTCTCACATTTCAATTGATTTTCATTCACATATTTAACCGTTCAAGCAATGTAATATTTCACGCAACATTTTTTTATGTCCACATTTTAAATGAAAAATTGATCAACAATTATTTTTGTTTAAAAGTGTTACTTAATAATTAATTTATATATTTCTTTTTTTCATTGTACATTTACAAATGGCTTTTTGAAAAAGAATTTCCTAATAATTTGTAACTAAATTTCATGGTATATATTGACCAAACAAAATTTTTGAGTATGGTGTGAACTTTTTACCATAGAATAATGCACAAAAGTTTGATGACCTTATATTCTTGTTTTTTTTATTTACAACTCGTTGTTATGACGCAATAATAACATTAGGAAGGTACATATAGCACAATAACAGTTCCTCTTTCTAGTAAAAGTTTATAACTGAATAGAATGCTACACATACATCCCATACCACAATATCATCAAATGTATTTCATTATTTTTGTCTCTTGCTAAAAAAAATCCTGAGAGAATACTGTAGGTAACAGTTTATTTGTTACAGATTCCTATGGCGTGCATCGGGTTGAAAACACCAGTAATGTAGAGACAGCTGTTAGTCTTCACTTGTACTCACCACCGTTTGAATCGTGCGACTGTTTTGATGAGAGGACCGGTAAAAAACAGTCAGTGAAGATCACCTTCTGGAGTAAATTCGGTGAAAGGACATACGTAAGTTGAAATATTTTTCGTGGAATTTCTTATCCTGGGGCAGGCGTTCAGCTAGTAAAATGGAGAGTCAGAAAGTTGCGGGTATCTGATCTAACATGCAAGCAATCCAGGGGTAAATATAGTCAGTTTTTACCAGTCTCAAACAGGCAGATTTTAACGAAATCAGCTAAATGTACTAATTGTCATTTTTTACTCACAAGCCAAATATATAAAAAATGTAAAACTTTCGTGGTTGTTAAATCTTACCCTTCAATTTTAACATGATAAACTGAGATTGGAATAATGCCTTCTCACCACCAATTACCTCGTTTCATCACAAAATAGTCCTGTTTATAGTCTGCACTTCCAACAAAAATAGCCAAATTTTTTGAGCAAAAACTGACAATAGACTCAAATGTTGTCTGTTTAAAATATGGGTTCATTTCCAGATTTTTTTCCAGAAATTTGTAGTGTCCAGAAATATTGAAAAATCTAAGAAAAAAGTGCACAAGAATTTGGGTGAGAAAGTCTGGCGGTGAAATGGTTAAAATAAGCTACTAATTAAAACATGTCGGTAGAGACTGATCAAAATTGGTCTAAATTGCACTGTTGTTCATAAAATTTTGAGCCAGTATGAAATTTACTTGCTATTAATGGACCACTAACTGAATCTTAGTTCACTTAGTAAGTTGCCCCACCCAATTTACCTTGTGGTGTTGTTGTGACTGATAAAAAATAAAGACAGACTGTCACGATTCAATTACTGTTGCATAGTATTACATGAAATACATTCGTAGAAGAATGAACACATATGTAAATACTCTCTCTAAATGTATTTACAGATGAATTCAAATAGAGTTTCAATATAAAGAATTGTAATTTTTACTGTCAAGTCATCAGTGATCCACTTAACATCACCACGGATCTCATGCGAGAACTGTATGCTGGATCATTAAAGTACGACTTATTTTGACAATAGTCCCACCTTGTATCAATTATAGTGCATTTGCAACTAATGAAGCAGATACTGCAAACATTTGGGTTTAAAGCGTGGTGGTCGTCGAATTTCATGTAAATAAACAATGTATTTTACACGTGTTGTATACGTCGCTATGAGTCCCATATCGAAGTGGAAGCAGCACGACGACTGCCGCCCTTTAATTTTGCTATTTTTGTTGATTATTGAAATTTGCTACCTTAAATTCATGTGAATGTGTAAAATCACCATACTTCATGTTGTTCTACTGACAAATCTGTGAATTTAAAATCCAGTGAATATCCTTGTATTAACAATATACTGGTACTACAGTGAAATCAAATACTAGTGAAATTTAATGATTCTACGGTATTCTATATTCTGTTCTCTTGTTTTCTAAACTGTGGATCGAATTGCTTTCATTTTACAGACTTTTAATTTTGGTATTTTCGTTGACAATTGAAATTCACTAAACTAAACCCATGTGAACGCGTAAAATTATAATAGAACTTTACTGGAAAATTTGTGATTTTAAAATACAGTCAATATGCTCCATTAACAAATTGATTACAGTGAAATCTAATACTAGTGAAAAATAATACTACAGTTTTATATATTCCGTTCTCTAGTTTACTTTTTCTAAAATGGATCATATTACTTTCATACAGACTGCCAACAGTTATATCAGCTTACAGGTTGATAGTTTGTTTACTGCAATGTCACACTTATTCCTGGAACATAATGAGAGATTTAAATATCAAATTCTTTAAATATTTTGCTTTGTATTGAATTTATAAATATTACATTCATAATTCTCCACCATACGTCATTTATACCAGTTGAAATTACAAGCTTACCATATGTTCTTACTGAAATGTACTTAAGGATAATAAAAAAATCCAGAAAGCATGGTTTATTCAATTGATCCAGGTTATTGTGCATGTTCATTCCATATCCTGCAGCTTTAACAGTCCACGTATGGTTTCATTATCCATTATATTTCTATACAACTTATGACTTGAATGATTTAAAAATTATTAAATATTTTTATTTTGATTGATAAATCTGAATGTAAATTTAGTGGCAATATTTGACTCTGGTGAATATGTATAAAATAATACATTTGGGAAACTAACTATAAAATGTAGGTCTGATTATATTATAAATAAGATTTTGCATGCTATAATTATGGTGCTCCTCTTAGAAATGGTGATCAGGGATTGCGTTAACGCGGAATTCCGCGTCCGGGAAGCATAGTTTTTATGTGGGACGCATGAATTTTTCAACTGGTGAGTCCTTGGGACGCATCCGGTGAGCACACGTCTCGGTCGTATTACGATAGGTCTAAAGGCATTGTGTGCGTTTGCGATGCCATTGTCCCGCATACAAAGTTCATAGAGCTTTTAAGGTAGCGAGACTATTATTTGTGTTGAAAATTACGATTTTCACATTTATTTATTAATTGATGAAATGCACTATAAACTTTCATATGATAAAGTCAACATAACATAGAATGTCATGTAAGTTGGTTAAAATGTAGATTTTCTGAAGGGAAGCAAGGCAGCCTCAGTAGTGTTTTCCAAAATCAACAACACAGGTTTAATCTGTGTGCCTATAAGTTTCAAAGATAAACTCAAGACAAAGCAATGTTAGGATGTGTTATCAGTAGCTATCTGACACACAATTAGTGTTTCCAAACATTTGAGTGGTTTGTCTCCGCCCCTAT